CTCTCTGCTTTTTTCTGACAAAAATTCAGCTCTCTGCCTTAACAAAAGTTCTGATCTGACAAAAAACAGTGGAAGCCGTTCATCAAAGTAAGGATTGATAAGCATTTAAAAAAATGCGGTTCGAAAGCATCTGCATTTTTTTATGACCGCAGTACCGATGATGTCAAAAGTGGGCTAAATTTAGCGAGCGCACAAATGTGAATTTAATCAAACTAAAGTTTTATATCAGAGCGATTATAGTTAAAAATCCTAAATTTTCTTAAAGTTATGGGGGTTTAAAGATTGGCATTTAGGCCAATTTGGGACAATTAACGCGCGATATATTTCGCGCTATTAACGCGTAAGCGTAGATTTAATCCGTCTTAGAAATCGTTCCAAATTGGTTGAACGAAGCTTATTTGCCATAATTGATTTGTTACAAGGAACGAAATCTATTTTTTTGTGCTTTATATGGCGTGTGGGGGATGATATTCATAAAAATTTTCAAATTTTAGAGAAAAAAGTTTTCATTTTATTATATTTCATTTAAATTTTTTATTGTTTTTACTGCTGCTCCATAAACCTTAAAAAGCAGTCGGAACATTCAGGGCTTCGGCCTGATACGAGCAGTCTTGTTTGTGTTTGGTTACGAACACAACCAAAGAATTTTGAGGAATTAAAATGTTAAAAATCAATATTTCTGGTTTATTGAAAAACGCTAGTCAGACAATTTCCATATATGAAAAAATAGTAATCATAGACCTTTCATGCACTTTTCTGTACTTATGGAATTGCATGAAAAGTGTATGATTAGCTTTTTTCATTTAAGAAAATTGTATGACTAGCATTTTTGCTCAACCCGGGTTAGATCCTCAGCTTTCTAATGAATACTTTAAAATTTTTGCTGTTGATGGTTTTTTATGCTCTAAGAACACCTCTTAAAAAATTTGCTAAATTAAAAGTATAAAAAATTTGCTTAGAAAATAAAAGATGCAACTTCTATATCCGGTGACTATACTTTGTGTATCCCCTGAATGTTATAGCTTCATCATGCGGTGTTGTCCAGAAACATGGAGTTTTGACACCAAAAGGATACCAGCTTTTAAAAGACTTATTATTGTAGATGTTTTGGGTCTATAAACTATAATGAAGCAAAAGGTAAGAAATATTGCCTGAATCAAAGGCCAAAATATAAAACTCCATTAAATTGCAATTTGAACTCTCTGCTTTATTCTGACAAAAATTCAGCTCTCTGCCTTAACAAAAGTTCTGATCTGACAAAAAACAGTGGAAGCCGTTCATCAAAGTAAGGATTGATAAGCATTTCAAAAAATGTGGTTCGAAAGCATCTGCATTTTTTTATGACCGCAGTACCGATGATGTCAAAAGTGGGCTAAATTTAGCGAGCGCACAAATGTGAATTTAATCAAACTAAAGTTTTATATCAGAGCGATTATAGTTAAAAATCCTAAATTTTCTTAAAGTTATGGGGGTTTAAAGATTGGCATTTAGGCCAATTTGGGACAATTAACGCGCGATATATTTCGCGCTATTAACGCGTAAGCGTAGATTTAATCCGTCTTAGAAATCGTTCCAAATTGGTTGAACGAAGCTTATTTGCCATAATTGATTTGTTACAAGGAACGAAATCTATTTTTTTGTGCTTTATATGGCGTGTGGGGGATGATATTCATAAAAATTTTCAAATTTTAGAGAAAAAAGTTTTCATTTTAATTTATTTCATTTAAATTTTTTATTGTTTTTACTGCTGCTCCATAAACCTTAAAAAGCAGTCGGAACATTCAGGGCTTCGGCCTGATACGAGCAGTCTTGTTTGTGTTTGGTTACGAACACAACCAAAGAATTTTGAGAAATTAAAATGTTAAAAATCAATATTTCTGGTTTATTGAAAAACGCTAGTCATACAATTTCCATATATGAAAAAATAGTAATCATAGACCTTTCATGCACTTTTCTGTACTTATGGAATTGCATGAAAAGTGTATGATTAGCTTTTTTCATTTGAGAAAATTGTATGACTAGCATTTTTGCTCAACCCGGGTTAGATCCTCAGCTTTCTAATGAATACTTTAAAATTTTTGCTGTTGATGGTTTTTTTTTGCTCTAAGAACACCTCTTAAAAAATTTGCTAAATTAAAAGTATAAAAAATTTGCTTAGAAAATAAAAGATGCAACTTCTATATCCGGTGACTATACTTTGTGTATCCCCTGAATGTTATAGCTACATGATGCGGTGTTGTCCAGAAACATGGAGTGTTGACACCAAAAGGATACCAGCTTTTAAAAGACTTATTATTGTAGTTGTTTTCGGTCTATAAACTATAATGAAGCAAAAGGTAGGAAATATTGCCTGAATCAAAGGCCAAAATATACAACTCCATTTAATTGCAATTTGAACTCTCTGCTTTATTCTGACAAAAATTCAGCTCTCTGCCTTAACAAAAGTTCTGATCTGACAAAAAACAGTGGAAGCCGTTCATCAAAGTAAGGATTGATAAGCATTTCAAAAAATGCGGTTCGAAAGCATCTGCCTTTTTTATGACCGCAGTACCAATGATGTCAAAAGTGGGCTAAATTTAGCGAGCGCACAAATGTGAATTTAATCAAACTAAAGTTTTATATCAGAGCAATTATACTTAAAAATCCTAAATTTTCGTAAAGTTATGGGGGTTTATAGATTGGCATTTTGGCCAATTTGGGACAATTAACGCGCGATATATTTCGCGCTATTAACGCGTAAGCGTAGATTTAATCCGTCTTAGAAATCATTCCAAATTAGTTGAACGAAGCTTATTAAAAAAATGTGAATGGTTTCTTTCGAATTTCGTATCGAAAGTAACGGAATATTTGTGCTCGAGTGGTTTTTTTTGACGGTTTTTGACGGTTTTTTTATCACTCAAAAAGTATTGCCGTCCTGAGCTTAAATTCGAGAAGATATTTAACTTGTGATCATTTTTCGTAAAGTTATGGGGGTTTAAAGGTTGCCATTTTGGCCAATTTGGGACAATTAACGCGCGATATATTTCGCGCTACTAACGCGTAAGCGTAGATTTAATCCGTCTTAGAAATCGTTCCAAATTGGTTGAGAAAAGCCTATTTGCCATAAAGGATTTGTTACTATCACTTTGTACTCTATATGGCGTTCACGGGGGGATGATTTTCACAAAAAATCTCAAATTTTTTTCAATTTTTTTTTTCATTTTTTTTACGTTTAATTTTTTCAGCATAATTCTGCTTCATAGACCTTAAAAGGCAGTCGGAACATTCAGGGCTTCGCCCTGATACGAGCAGTCTTGTTTGTTTTGCTACATACTAAATCACATTAATCGTGAGTCTACTTATCGATTTCGATTGTTTTATCTCAGCTATGATACCCGGAGCACAACTAAAATGACGCATTTTTTCTGAACCCGAAATCAATAAATTAGGTTATGTGGACTCAACGTAGTACAGTGCTGATTTAAATTAAGCGGACAAAACGCGTTAAACTTGAAATTTAAAACCCATTTTTCTCAAATTGGGTTGATTTTAGGTGAAAAATTATGAAGACAAAACTTGCTTAAAATTTTAGCAGAATTAAAATGGTGCAATTTGTTCTGCGAAATTCTGGCCCGAAATTTTACCCCAAAAATGGTTCATTTTGGCTTTTCTTAGTTAATCAAAAATTACGCCGAAAATACCCGGCCGATCACAGACATAATTATAACAAAGTGGGATCATTACGTAGCCCAACAAACTTTAAGAACGGTATTTTCTCCAAAATATTGTATAAGTTAATTTGTTTTTGTTTGCTAGACAAAAAAAGTCATTTTTACTATATAAAATACCAACTTTTTAGTTCAAAACAATTTTTAAACAATATGCATCTTTTTTGGAGAAAATACCCTTCTTAAAGTTTGTTGGGCTACGTAATGATCTCACTTTGGTATAAATATGTCTGTGATCGGCCGGGTATTTTCGGCGTAATTTTTGATTAACTAAGAAAAACCAAAATGAACCATTTTTGGGGTAAAATTTCGGGCCAGAATTTCGCAGAACAAATTGCACCATTTTAATTCTGCTAAAAATTTAAGCAAGTTTTGTCTTCATAATTTTTCACCTAAAATCAACCCATTTTGAGAAAAATGGGTTTTAAATTTCAAGTTTAACGCGTTTTGTCCGGTTAATTTAAGTCAGCACTGTACTACGATTCATCTCTGCCATGGTTTTGAGGAAATAATTAATTTAGTAATTCTTGAATTTGATTCATTCCTCGAAAAAATTGAAAAAAAAAAACATTAAACGCTCTGATATTGATGACACCATTAGCAAAAAAGCTGCATCAAATGGGAGAAAATTGATCGGAACAAAAAAAGTTTTTCTTTCCATGACGCTTGGAACTGCTCAAAAAATGTCCCAAAAAACTTAATTCGTACCGAAAATGAAATAGTTGAAGAAAACCATTTGTCAAATACTTTGAAGTGTAATCGATCAAAAATGAAGTTTTCAACAGGGAATTGAAATTATACTAAGAAAATTGGCTTGTGGCATTAAGCCAGTGCAATCCATCAAAAAATCATCACCATCAAACACTAGACTGCTGCTGATGAACGCCTTTGTCATAGCCATCTACATTATTCGGCTATTTTATTCAATGCAAAAACGATTATATTAATAATATCCTAAGAATAAAAAAATCAATGTTGTTCGGCTTTAGATTTTGCATGCAAAACAAACTTCGAAAAGCACTGATTACTAATTTTAATTAATTGTTTGTCTGAACTTTTGCTACTAATTATATTAATACGTTACTAGACGCTAAATGCATCACTTTGTACTTAACATAGCGTTTGGGGAAAATTCTATAAATACATTTTTTCCAGTTTTTCATTTTTCATCAAACTGCATGGATGTTAAAGGACAGTCGGAACATTCAGGGTTTCAAAGTGATACGAGCAGTATTGTTTTTCTGAGACCTTTTTCTAGGTGAAGATTTTAAATAAGAGTTGGATAAACTTTACCTGATGTCGTCAAAGTATAGACCCGGGTAGTAGTAACTCCAGTCTGATCCTTGGAAGCAAGCAAAACTATCAGTTTTTTATGAAAGATACTTAGATACAGATGAGTTCTTACACCTACCAAAGAGCAGCCAATTGAATTGCGTCAAGTTTTCAAGAATAATAATTACAATTTCTTCTGCAAAGTTTGTTTTTCCAATTTGATAGAAAACGCTTCATTTGATATAAAAAATTGTTCAGATAAAGAAAGCTGGCCAAAAACAACCGGTGCACACACTGATTTGATTTTTTTCAAAAACTGCTTAGAAAAAGGAGGCGAGGAGGGCATTGAGTAGAATGATCCCAGAGCAGAAGGTGTGCTAGAGCAGAAAGATAACGCAACATAAACAGAATTAGAGTGGCAGTAATGGAAAATCTGTTCCACAGGCCTAACGTGTTCATTTATAAGAATAGGTCGGGTCTCGGAAATGGTTAGGGTTGTTAGGTTACTTCGGTCACCGAACGATGAGCAGAGCATCTAAGAGCAGAAAGGGTCTGATAGCAGGAAAAATACCACAATTCCTTGCGTTCTAGGAGATTACGAGCATTCTAATTAAAATTCATATCACCTAGCAGTATTAAAAAAACGAATTGTTTATTCTCAAACAGCTTAAAAAACAATTTTTTGACCACCGAAGTCGCGCCAATCTGTTGCGAACTTGGGTATGATTCTACGCGAAAATAAGAGCCCACAACGTGCGCTTAGTACTCTCACCGGCGACCTGAAAACAACTGTCTGTGTTCTCTCACACATCGATTTTCCCGTTCCAACCATGTATTCATGCCCTTGAACCCATTCTTCTCTTGAACTATTCTTCTCAATGCCCCGCCTCCGCACGGAACACGTATCATACTGGTGGATGATCCAATTTTTCTGCACTTGAACATAAATTAGTTCTGCTTATGAAATGTTCTTTTGGTGTCGGCCCGACCTCATTTTTAAAAAGTTGTCGATCTTTTTGTCTATTTGTCTATTTTGTAATTTGAGCGAAATTAATTTTAAAGCTATATCTAAGTCGATGATCAAAAATTGAAACTTTTTTGTGCAACCAGAAGAGTTTTTGATAACGATTCTATTACTAACTATTACTAAGTTTTTGATAATGATTCTACTACTACTACTACTACTACTAATGGGTACAAAATTTCCAGGACCAGTGTAATGTGCGAGAGAGACAGGCCGGTCTAGAAGAAGAATGGTCCAAGAGCAGAACAACCAAAAGCAAAAAAACTGATAATGCAATGAGCCTGATGCTTTTTGTGTGATGCTAGTTTAAGGACAAAAACTGTTTATGAGAGTGCCAGTTTGTTGTCGGCGCAGTGCCGGTGGACGCAGAGCGCGCCCACTTCAAGATCACTTACAAAAAATTTTCATTAATCAGTTTTTATTACTGCTTATATTGCGTTACTATAGAATAATTCTTTTAGAAAGTCCTCCTCTTAGAGACCTGTTAGAAAAATTAGCCTTTTTCGCCTTGTTCCAAATTAAAAACCATTCTAAACGCTACATTTTTTAGATTATCCTGTCATAAATGACGAGCAAAAGAAAATTGTCATCTAATTTCCTGATAATTCTGCTTGTTGAACTTGGAAAAGGAGCATAGCCGCCGGAATCATAATGATGGTAATAATTGTAGGTATGGTAACTGTTGATAATTACAACACAATTCAGAAACAATAGAAGGAAGTTAACCATTCCTGATAAATGGTGGATTATTGTATCACAATGTAAATAATTTGGTTTTTTATTTCGAAGTTGCGACCAATCAAAAAATATAGTAAATGTCGAATTGTTGGCAATATTGGTTATATCGAGAAGCTCAATCGGCAAAAAACGGTGCTTTTTTGTTAAAATCAAAATTTTTGGCTCAAATTTTCAACATACGTGAAAATTAGGTTCCATGAATAGTCAAAATGAACAGTTAGATGTTGATTAAATTGGTTCAATTTCTCTTAACAAAAATGAGTTATTGTCAACTGGTAGGGATTTGAATCCCTGGCCACACAAAGGGTCCCACCATTGGAATTATTTTGCGAGATTCATCTTTGGCTCACCAATCCTAAAGTTTTCGGGAGAAAGCGCGAGCCAAAAAACGCGCAGTTTTTTGGACTATTTTTTTTTCTCAAAAGTTTGCCTACAGCGCAGAAAATATTGTGAAAATAAGGAGAGCTCGGAAAAGGAAACTGTCTATCTAAAAAGTCAACTTTTCCGTCAACTCCGTTTCCTGGATCTGCGCCAGTTGCTAACAATTTAGTGTTGACTATATAATAAGCTGCAAGAATTTGAACCGAGATCAGACCTAAGAGCAGTTTCTAACTTCGCTTTACTTGAAAGGCAAGCAATATTGAAAGAGCGTACTGCTGTTAACAAATTTAGCAGACAGCGTTTTAAATAATGACCTTGAGACAGTGAAATATAGTTGAAATTGCAACCGAATTTTTAAAATTGCATTGCAACTGTCAAAAGAGTAAGCCACAATAATTGCGCTTTTTCAGAGGTCACTTTTTTATGAAAAACTTCAAGCCCTTAACTTCAAAATAGTTTTCATTCAGCAGCAACCTGACATGCAATTTTTCAACTACTAAAAAAAAACATAAAACGCCGGAAAAAAGGCAAACACGAAACTTCGAAGAACTATTTCTAATAAGCTTCAACTTGAATGTCGGAATCAGGGGCGGATTTAGGGGGGGGGGGACGCTCTTCCCTCAAGGATTCGACCCCCTGCCGACCCAAAGGGTCCCACCTTTGGTACTTTTTAAAAATCCATTTTTGGTCGACCGACCCTAAAAATTCTCTTAAGGCGCCTTTGGGGCCAATATATACTAATTTTGAGGGGGGAGCGCGCGCCGAAAAAACGCAATTTTTCTATAAAAATTTTCAAAAAGTGCCTAAAAACGCTCTGTTCGGCCTTTTTTTCAAAACTTCGCCTGCGGCGCCAAAAATTTGGCCAAAACAGTGACTGAACCGTGCTTAGGGAGAGCTTGAAAAATTAATTCGGTTGACCTAAAAAAAATCGACAAAATTATCGAAAATTTTTTGAAAATCCGCCCTCTCCCCTCGAGAAAATCCTCGATAAAATTTTTCGTAACCCGTTTTTGCGTACACGCCCGTTTTTGCGTACACGACTGCTCGTATCAGAGCGAAGCCCTGAATGTTCCGACTGCCTTCTAAGTTCTATGGAGCAGTAATAACAAGACAATTTTAAATCTAATAACATTAAATTAAAATTTGTTTTGAAAAATTTGAGATTTTTTGAAAATCATACCCCCACACGACATATAAAGTATCAAGTGATAGATTTTGCTCCTAGTAACATATCAATTATGGCGAATAAGCTTTCTTCAACTAATTTGGAACGATTTCCTAGACGGATTATATCTCATATCTCCGCGTACGTTATTATATCTCATATTCCCTAAGTTTTGTTTCGAATAAATCCTCCATTTTGGCTGAAAATTGATTCTATTGTAAAAAATTTCTCCTGGCTTTTTACAGCAGTTTTTGAAAGCACTGTTCTAGAAATTGCCTACAGCGGCGTTTTTGGCGCGTTTTTGATTTAAAATAATTGGAAAAACTTAAGCATTGACAAACAAAGGCCAACTTAAAGCATTTTCAAGAAAGATCTCTGAAATAATCATTTTTGTCTTTCTGCAAAGTTTAGAAAGTTTTTTTTTGCATAAGGCCCTCTCCCACCCCTCTACTTCCGTGAAAACTTAAGTGTTAACAACGGTCTCAGTAATTAAAGTGTTCATAAGATTGTGCAAGTCAGCCGCAATTTTTGAATTAAATTAAATAGCCGAAAAAGTTATCAAATTTTGAAAACGCATAGCGGGCATCAAATCCGATTCAGTAAAGGGCACTTTGAAAAAAAAACATTTACAAATTTTTCTCCTCGATTATAGTTCATAGCAAATTTTTGGCAAAATTCTTTTCAATCAACGAAATAAGTTATTTAACATTAAACTCTTGATTTCGACGTCGGATTTAAAAAGAAACAATAAACCTGATTTGATATAGTTTTTTACTGTGTGATTTCTCGTAAATCCATGTCTCAAAAAAAGTTATAACCAGACTGCACACATAAAGTTAAAACCTCGAAAGTTAATTTTTTTTTCTTTGAAAAACATTTAAATAAAACAATTGATGAAAACTTTTTAAAAATTTTTGAAAATTTTTCGATTTGTGAAATTTTTTTTATATTTATTTTTTTCGAAATAATACCTCCATACGCTAATAAATATTTGAAGTGATATATTTTGCATATAGCAAAGTATTGAATAACCCAAAGAGTATGCCTCAATTCAATTAGGACCGCGTTTAAAGCAAACGCGTTTAATGCACGAAATCAAATCTCAGCAAACGCGTTTATCGCACAAAATATATCGCGCGTTCGTTGTCCCAAATTGACAAAATTTGAAGCCCCATTACTTGACAAATTAATCACCGGTGAATTAGTTTTTTAAACTTGAGCTCAGAAAAACAAAACTTTTTGAAAGACTTCAAAAATTCCGTCAAGAAAGGCTGATTGAAAAGTCAAAGTTTGTCACATAAGAAAAAATCATTTGAATGTGAGTAACTATATCTTTCACTAGCTGTCGAGAGAGCGCACCGTTCAAACAACTATACATGACCTAGACACAATTGACAGGTTTCTGTCTTCATAACGATAGCAAAACCGTTATTAGCAGTTAAATGCTGACTGGATATTGTCAAATTCAGTATCCAAAAGAATGGTACAGAGTTTCTGTTTTGAGTCTGAACACATATCTCAATGAGGCCACAGCCCCGATGATCTGCCACTGGGCAGAAAGTTTTCTTTATCCACTTGAATTCACAGAGATCAGCAAGCTTACGTTTTAAATTCTGAATACTGACCCGTCCTCAATTTTTTTTGGAACTTTATGTTGATTGAAACAATTATTTTAAAGTTTAATGATTTTTTTCGCTTCCTGAACTTTTGGTAACAGATGGTTACTTTGAAAAAAAACTATTTGCAGCAAAATGTTGTTGTACTTTGATTCAAAAAATTGTCCCATTAAATCCAAATGAAATTCTTCTTTTGGTCCTAAGAAATCTGACAGAGGTTCGGAAGAGTTCAACGAAATGCAGATGTAAAGTTTTTTATCGTACGCTAAGAAAAAAACTCTGCATGACTGCAAACATCGATTTGCAAACATTAAGGATTTCTCTGTGCATCTTCGGCCACCAGAGTTTTTAGGGGTGTCCAACATCGCCTCTTGGCCCGTGTGCGTCCCGTGGAGTCGTGACGAAAACACTTTTATTAGACACGGTGGGATTGCCGCCCTATTGTTTTTCACACTGCGGTCTGTGTTCACCGCGCGGTTGTCTCAGAAGCTGCTGGTAAAGTAGTTGCCTAGTCTGGGGAATCCTTCTCTGTTCTTTGCAAATATGCATTTCCGCAACCGACCTAGTTGGCTATCCTCTGTCGTCATTTTTTCCAAAAGGTCAACGTCTAGGATGTTGTGAAATACCGTCGTCAATAACTTCGTATCCTTTGAGATGATGGGTGTTATAGACTATTTGGGTTTTCTCATTTGTTCAGATATCACATTGTCACCAGCCAATCGTTTTAATATGTTTTTCCTTTTCGGAATATGTTTTTACATTTCGAAATAAATGATCCTCTTTTTGCTTGATGCTAGCATTTTCCGTCTTCTACTCGCTTTCAACTGTTTGTGTGGTGTTTGTCCTTCCTCCCAAATTCAAAAAGCTTTCCGTTTGATAGATTGATGGTAGATCGAATTGACTTATAAAATTCCTGTGAGAGCTGAAATTATTGTTTTTTTTTTCTCACTAAGTTTGGGTTTAGAAACGCCATTGAAACTTAAATTGAAGTTCGGAGACAAATGTTTTGCTTAGACTATGACTGAATACGACATCTCGATAGGTCAGAATACGATAGGTCAGATTTTACAAATTCTTTTTCGTCACCCTCTCGTGTCGATACGTTTGAATTCATGAATAAATAAGTAATATACTTTTATGATTGATTTAAAAAAATCCACCGCAAGTAATTTCGCCTTCTTGTGGTGTAATGTAACTTTGTACAAACTGCTCTGACTGGGTAAAAGATTTGACCGTATAATCGCGATATGTACACAAGTAATGATCTAATCAGAAGAAACGATTTAATTGGTTAAGATAAAAACAACATGATTTCGCTCCTTCAGCTGATGAATGTACATTACATAAAAATCTCAGATCGGACTAAACTAACACCGTGAAAATTTCTGAGTTGCCTTGACTTGGCGGTATGACTTCACATTTCTGATTGGTAGAAATCCAAAACATCGCCCTCTTCATGTAGTTCGGCGTTGACCCATAGTTCTTGCAAAGATTTACATCGCAAATGAACTTTGATAATTCTCTTGTGATTGATTAGAATTTAATACTTACAGCATGATTTCCTTTTGTTCTGACGTCTTTTGATTTGATTATATGCTCGAGACGTTTCATCAAGTTCACAATGGCCTTAAATAAAAACTGTCCATCATAATAGCGGAGGTTGAAGGAGTCTCGAATTCCGGGTTTATAGAAAGGTATTCTGCGATTCATTTTGTAGTTTTTGCAATCTGAAGTATAGAGTACTCGGTTGATACATTTCATGCACACATCTAGCTAACCTTGACTGATATGTCTTGTTTCCTTAGTTCTTTGTAAATGCTGTAACTATAGCTTTATGGTCAGTTAGGGTTTGGAACCGACTCCCCAAAAATTAAATTTAAGAAAACTCGCATGACCATAAGACAACGAGAAGTTCTAGCTTGTTCGTTCTGTACTTGTGTTCCGCGGTGCTAATCTTTTTTAAAGTGAAGGCAAAATGTAC